CTCTCTCTCTCTCTCTCTCTCTCTCTCTCTCTCTCTCTCTCTCTCTCAAATAGAATTCATCACCTCTTGATATACAACTTATATTTTCACCTAAGCATACGTGGTAACTATTTTTTCCATTAGAATTGCGGCCTAGGGGGCAGAACAGTGGTTTTGTCAGCTTCCTTACTTGGCTGTGAGCCCTTGCCTACCTACAGAACTTATCTGTATCAGTAGGGGAGATGAGAGTTTCTATTCACAGGGCAGTGAGGATGTTGCAAAGTCTGGTATGCACCAAAGCCTCTTTGGATCAATTGTTGCACTGCCTTTATAGGTAAAGTTTAGGCAAATGAACTGCTCACTGGTATTCTTCCTGATTAGACCAGCTCAGGTGTTGCTTAGATACTGTAGTTTCCATATAGTATATAGTGTATAGTGTGTAGTATATGGTATATGGTATATAGCATATAGCATATAGATCGTATAGTTGCATTCAGCCAATAAGCAGTTACTGAATTTGTATCTAAGGCTGTCCTTTTTCCCAGGAACTGTGTGTATGCAAATGAACTGTTTCCTGTATCTGAAGATCTTAGCAATATAATTTAATAATTTCTTTCTACTAAAGGAAAAAGAAAAACTAATACATAGATTTTTTTATAGATGAACTATAATATTTTTCTATTGTTAACAATTAGGTTTATTCTTAGGTGTGTTCTTAGATTTAAAAAAAACAGCCTATTGGCAGGGGTTGGGGCAGTAAGGATTTCCTAGGTCACATTAGTCTTGCTGTCTAGTACCCCTTGGCTCCCCTCTCCAAACATAAAGAAATGATGACGTAAGGTACAGGAAGTGATTCAATACCTCCAGCTCTGCGAGTCTATCCTGTCGATTACTCAGTTGGCTGGTATATTCTAAGAGTTATATCCTTCAGACAGTTATGTCTGTGTTATAAAGACACCATGTTTTCATACTGTTTGAATGCTGTTTTCCTAAATACAGTCTGTGGCTTTCCTGCCCTTTCTCATTGACGTTTGGTTTCTGGACCCACAGGGGTAGGTCTGAAAGTGTGTCTTAGTCCAGCTTTACTTCATGTTTCAAGATAAGGCAAGAAAAAATCCAATTCAGATTCTACACTTTAGAATGTAAATGTAACATTCCTTCACAAAACTGATCAGACCCACAGAGGTAATTAATTCATGCTGGTTTATGTTGGCAGCCTTCATCTCCCAGTTGATAGTTGGGAAAAGTCATGTTCCGGGGCCAGCAAAATTACTGTGTGGACACAGTGCTTTCTGTGGAAGTCTAGTGAGTGGAGTTAAAGACCCAGAGCCTACATGAAGGTGTGAGGAGAGAATGACTCCACCGTAGAGTCCTCTGGCTACGGCACATGCTGCGGCCAGCACGTACCTGTCCTCTCACACACAATAAACAAGGACGTTAAAATGTCCTCCTCGAGAGCTGATGAGGAGCAACTGACAGCAGTGTGATTCTGAATTCTCAAGAAAATGTATTTTATAGAAAGTGTGAGGGAAAGACGTGTGTGTGTCCAGAGAGATTTTCTCTGCTGCAATCCAGATGACTTTATTTTTACATATGTACATTTTCTAGTTTTGAATGATAAGAATAATATAACCTAAAAATATCTTTTCCCATTATACTACTTAATTCTATATCAAATTCCCCCGTAACTCTACACGGTTGATTGTAGCAGGTCCATTTTAGAGCTAGAGAAACTAGTACCAAGAAAGGATGACTAAATTCCTTTCCCCAATATCCTTTAGATTCAGGCCAAGGTCAGGACAGCAACTCCTCTTCATCTATAGCTTCTGTGCTACACTATGCAATGAGTAAATGATCACTTTTGAAAGTAAGAAACCATTTTTCCTTCTGTAATACAAATGTAAAATTCTGAAAGCGCTTTGGTTTAAGAATAAAAATCAAGCAGTAGATCTTTTAACCTGATGGTCGATGGGAGATGCCCATAATGCCTAGCTTCTGTGGTGCCCGTGATCTGCATGCATCATGGTGATAAACTCCGTAATATGTCACAGTTGTTATTAACTAGTCAGACATGCTTGTTCGGTGCATGGCAGAGGGAGGGAGCAGGGGTCCCTTGGATACAGGGTGAGCAGCTGTATGCCCTGCAGATCCTGATGGAGTCTTCACACAGAAGAGTCTCTCCTTTTATTGTTCGTGTTTCTGGCAAGAAAATGTCCACTCTTCTTTGCACTATGCAGTAAGAGATAGTCAAGTCACTGTACTAGGGCCAAGGCAAAGCAGATAAAATCAGACATTGTCTGTTAAGTGTTGTTACTATGTCAATAGTTGTAGGCATTCCAACTTTACAGAAGTAAAGAAACCAAACTCCTTTGTGTTGATAGCAGCCTAGTTTGTATTCACAGGAAACCACAGTGTGGATCTATCAGCTGATTGACTTCTAAAAGTATTTGTGTGTGTCTGTGTGTGTGTGTGCATTTGTGTGTGTGCGTGTGTGTATGTGTGTATGCACATTCATGTGTGTGAATATGTATATGCATGTGTATGTGTGTGTGTGAATATTGTGTGAGTATACACTATACATATGTGTGTGAGTGTGTGTGTGTATGTGTGTAAGTATGTATGTGTACATGTATGTGTATGTGTGTGAATATGTGTGTGAGTGTGTGTTTATGTGCATGCATGTGAGTGTGTGTGTGAATATGTCTATACGTATGTGAGTGGTTGTGTGTGTGAGTGTATGTGAGTGTGTGTGTGTATGTGTGTATGAGTTCAGTGTTGATGGAAATTATACAGTGAACCTAAACTGACTCTAATGTCCTGATTTATACAAATGGATGCCATCATGTGCTTGATGGACAGGGTTGGACAGCCACTTGCGCGTCACAGAGAAAAGCCGGGGAAATGGGACAGCAGCCCATTTCACCTTGAAAGAATGGCACCTCTTCTTTTGTTGGTCATGACATCCACTTTGTAGCCCTTTCTAGCTCATTTCTAAACTGCTTTCCATATAAGATTGGCTTCAAATAGTGTCATAAACACACCCCATTTATTTGTGTGGTGCTGAGAGCACCTCATATATTTACATGCATTCTTACAACATTCTTGTGGAATAGACAGAGAAAAACCACTTCACCCTAACATGACAACCCCTCTCCCCACCATGCCCAGCAGATAAAGTAATTTACTTGGGTTTCAGTGGGAAGTCAGGGGCAGAACCCACCATGGTGTCTCCTGACTTAATTGAAATATTTTTCTCTGGTCGCTACTAGTCAGCATAGCTACTGAGCATGGCCGAAGGGATGTAGCAGAAAGATGGTTTGGACTTGCCCACTGTGTCTACAGAACTACACTGGAGCCCTGCCACTTACTCTGTTTGCTTTTCTACTTCTAACAGGGAGGTACCTCCTTCCGAACCCGGTAGCAGGACAAGCCTGGCCTACCTCAGCAGAGACGTCCAACCTCGTGCGCATGCGCAGCCAGGCACTCGGCCAGTCGGCTCCCTCGCTCACAGCCAGTTTGGTGAGTGTCTGTGTGTGTCTCACTACAGTCAGTCTCGCTGCTTCATTGGGCAACGGTCCTGCCTGGCTCTCTGTATGCTAGTTCCTTCCTGGCCACACCCAAATGTGGAATAGTTCTATTTGGTTCCATGTTACCCATTCCCTAAGAAGTGAAAATGTTTCTAGCCTTTAAAAACTCCAACCAACCAATCAAAGCTTTCTAAAAAAACTGAAGACTGTGGTAAAGCCGAAGGGTAAGAAAACCACAGACGGCTGCAGTCTGTCTCTTACTTAGATCCCGTTAACTAGCACCTTGCCCAACTTGCTTATCTTTTGTTTTGTGTATACGTGTGTGTGTGTGTGTGTGTGTGTGTGTGTGTGGTGTCCATATATTTATGTGAAAATGCGTTACACAATTCTTGAGTGACCTGAGAGTAAAATGTGTGTCCATCACACCCTGTGGTGTGGCAGTTGTCAACTTGAATAACTTCCTCACTGATGAAGCCCAGTGTCTGCTTGACAGTCTGGTTCAGTTGAACCAATGGACTCAACCATGTCCTTTCTAACAGCATCTCCTCCACAGCGTAGCACCCAGCCTGTGGTCCCGTGCATACTCAAGCACCCATCTCCTTGCTGTCCTTTGATCTGGTGCCTTCCCACACCCTTGCTTTGTCTTTGCTGACAGCAACACCGTTGAAAAAAAATTATAGGCAATTTTTTGTCTAGGGCTTGTCTGCTGTTTTCCCATAGTGAGACTCCGATTTGCACATTCCTGTTCCAAATTGAGAACTGGTGATGTGTCCTCAGGACATGTTCTTGACAGCTGCATGATGTCTCTCTGCCCCTCGCTGATGTTAATTTGGATTGCCCAGTCAAGGTGCTGCCTGGTGGTTCTGCAGTCATTACCCCTGACTTCCTGCAGTGTAAGAGCAATCTGGGGAGGTAGTGTAGGCTATGCAGGTAGTGTAGGCCATACAGGTAGTATAGGCTGTGCAAACATGCTTCTTGCCAAAAGCTTCCCCTGTTCTTCAGCATCTGTTGGTGATTCTTGGAAAGATCATTCTTTTTTATGTTGATTAAAAATGGTGTGAGCTAGGCATGTAGCTCAGTGGTGGAGTGCTTGCCTAGCATGTGCGAAGACTTGGATTTGATTTCCTGCATTGGAAGAAAAATAACCTCCCAGTACTAGCACTCCTGGTATTTACTGACTGGAACATATCTGTGTTTCTGTTGGTAGCATAGACTTGGACTTTTCTTTTTGTTCTTTCCCAGTGTAGCCTTGGTTTTTTAACCATTATGCTGATTAGATTTTTGTTTTCTTGCTGGATGTCTTTTTTTTTAATGTGGTTTTGTGTGTGTATGTGTTTTTGCATGTGGTTACACACGTATGTGGGTTTACACATATGTGCACATGTGTGGAGGCCCAAGCTTGACATCATTGTCTTCCTTGCTCATGCTCCCTTTATTAGTCAGAGCCTCTTGCTAAATCTGGAGCTCACTAATTCCGGCTGGTATAACCAGCCACCTTCCCCAGGAACCCTGGTTCTGTCTCTCAAGTGCTGGGATTACAGTCAACTGCCATGCTGGGTTCTGAGGTTTCAAACTTTAGTTCTCATATTTCAGGGACAGTCACTATATCTGCTGAACCTCCTCCAAGCTCCTTTTTGGGCATGTACTGATCTACTGTAACACACAGTGCAAGTCTTTTCAACTTGATCTGGGGACGTGGCTCAAGGACAGAGTACTTCCTTAGCATGTGTGAGGCCCAGGGTTTATTTTTCTGCACTCAAACAAACAAAAACAAACCCATAAAACCAAGTGCCAAGACAAAAAGTCTATACAAGTTATGCTTGGGTTAGTAAAGTTACAGGACATGGTGCTAGGTCTTTAAATATCTTTTAATGAAAAAGATGAAATAGTGTATATAAATCTGTGTATTATGGTGTTTTATAATTTTATATACTGGGGATAAATTACATTGGATATTTGGGCATCATCCAGTCAGTGGAGATTTGATTTACGTCTAGCCTCGAGCTCTGCCTTGGCATTGAGGAGATATGTAAACAGGGAAAGTCCCAAATATCAGGACCATATCTGTAACTGCAGAATGCAAAGACGTGTTAAAACAGTCAGGGAAGCCCATTTCGACTTTGAAATTTCTGATCGTTCTTTCAGAGAAATTAACAAGCTGAATGCATGGCATAATGATCTCCAGAGCAGACACTGAAGTGGTCGTGGGTAGGATTGTCTTCCTCCTCCTCCAGCATCCCTCTTACCTCATGCTAACTGACTTGTTTTCCTTGGGGAATTTGTTAAAAGCTTCTTTTTCTGTGAGCATTTACCTTTTAAGACAAAAACACTTCACAATTTATCACTTTTGACAGTGTGATTCAAACGCTGCAACCCTAATACTTGAATGGTAATATTATGGATATGCTTGTCGGCAACGAAATCATCTGACAAAAAGTGCCTCTGTCGTGAGTTCTCTATTTTATTACCTAATATGGGCGATCACATGCCCAGACACAAACTGACCTTTTCATTGCTAAAACGCATGCCAAACAACCTAACGTATTTGGGAATAGTATACAAAAATAAATGTTAATAGAGAATTCGAGAAGAATACCCCCTAAAATGTGCCAGACAACATCCTTAGCAAAGAATCCTTTAAATCATTAGCTGACCTACCCACATGCTTTATGAAGCTTCAGGATGTGGTAGCTGAACTGTGGCTAACTTCAGATATAGAGGCCAGGATATGCTTGGGCCATTTACTGCTGGGGTTGTCAAGGTATCCTGCTAGGCAGAGATCTGTCTGTCTTAGTTAGGCTTTTACCACTGTGAACAGACACCATGACGAAGGCAACTCTTATAAATAACAACATTTAATTGGGGCTGGCTTACAGATCCAGAGGTTCAGTTCAGTATCATCAAGGTGGGAGCATGGCAGCATCCAGGCAGGCATGGTGCAGGGGAAGCTGAGAGTTCTACATCTTCATCTGAAGGCCACTAGGAGAAGACTGGCTTTCAGGAAGCTAGGACAAGAGTCTTAAAGCCCATGCCCACAGTAACATACTTCCTCCAACAAGGCCACACCTACTCCAACAAGGCCACACCTACTCCAACAAGGTCACACCTACTCCAACAAGGCCACACCTACTCCAACAAGGTCACACTTCCACATAGTGCCACCCCCGGGCCAAGCATATTAAAACAACCACACCATCCTCACTCCCCTGTTCTATTGCAATATGCCCAGATACCTCCCTCACTCTGTCACTGTGGTACTCTCCAATCTTTGTTGCCAGGGCTTATTTGAGGGACAACTTAGCTCTCAGGATCATAAAGTTTAGCCTGTTTTATGTTTCTGTCATGTTTGGAATGTGTTGGATTTAAATTATTTTTGTTGATTAAAAGTAGCACGTTGACTAGAGAATGGTGCTGAGGGGTGGAAGTGGACAGTCTTAGGGTTCTTTCCTCCCCCCCCTTTCCTTTCTCTCATTTAATCCTCTTCCAAACAGGAGTTGCTCTGGGCAGCAGAACATGCCTCCTCACTGACCGGTGCTGCCTTCCTGGCCTCTGGCTTTATTTCTGGGATCCCCTTAGAGCTGTGAGCTCATGTTCTCAACTCCTTTAGGGTCAATCCCAGTATACCTTTGAATGCTTAATCTCTGCGTGTTGAAATTCTAAGCTCCTCGAGGGCAGACTTAAGAGGTGACTTGATTTCCTGCTCCCTCCTTCCCTTGGCACTGTGCTTTCCGTGTTGGGGGCATTCAACAAATAATAATAATGAATAATTACTCATGGAAAAGTGACAGATTCCTTTAGCCTCCAGGTGAGGTGACGGTATGACAGTGAGCTCTGATTGGTGGATTGGTGACCTGATGATACCATCCATCTAAAACCGCTCCAGTTCTATTGTTTGGTGTGTATCTCACCATTGTGACTAGCTTGAAAAATCCACAGAACAGGCCAAATCCCATTTAGTACATGTCAGCCAGTCAGAAAATATGACAGACTTGTAAATATTATTATCACTGTCCACAATCAAGGGATGTCCATTAATCTCTTTTCATGTAGCAATGTAGTCATGGTGGTTTAAATGTCTCATTGATTTCTTTCTTTCTTTTTTCTTTTTCTTTTTTCCTAATCGCTAAGTTAAAGAGGTATTTGTCCAAGGATAGGAGAATCAGGAAAAATAAGATTCCAAGTGGTTGTGGTCAAGTGACAGCATTACCTTTGATACGTCAAAATCCTTTTCCAAGGAAACAACTCACATGTCAGTATGGACCTTCTACCTGAGAGTATGCTAGTAAGACGTTAATGAAGGCCGTGTTATTTGGAGGGTATGAATTCTTGTAAATGCAGGACCTGTAGCGATTTAAAAGCCATCGGCACACTGGAAGGTACTGCTAACTGCCTTCTCAAGGAGGGGATTAATTCCTAGCCCGAAGTATCTAGTTTTCCTTGGCAATGCTAAATGTAGTTGTGTTCTCTCTCCCAGACACTTTGGGCATTTCAGATAAATGGCATGTTGCCAAGTCATCCTAAGTAGCCTGGTAGCTGGCAGACTACATGCTCAGCCAGTGTCCGCCCGCTGGGACCCCAGCCGGGAGTGCTGATGAAGTGTCAGATGCATACTTCATATACATTAATCTGAAGGGGGAAAACTCATTTTCCCATTTGCTGTCTCCATCTTTCTGTCCCTCCCCACACACATGGGTAGTTTATCAAAGAAGTCATCGTCCGTCGTCAGGAGCTGGGGGATTTGTACAGATGCTTCTTTCTGGCAGGAGAGATGGAGATTCCAGGCGGCAGAGGCAGGACCAGTGACTTTATTTCTTGGCAGGAAAATATGGTTGTAAGCCTCGATGACTGACGTTCAGAAATGGTAGATGCGGCCAATCATAAGAAACATTTACTGCTTTTACACTTTGCTGTAACAGATGGGGGAGGGACTTTGAAAATGAGATGCCCATATATCTGTCTGGTTGTGTTTGCCCTGAATTGCCTGCCTCATCT